AGGAAACGGCCCTGGCCTCCAGCACCCTCCCCACTCCAGCCTCACCGTCCCACCGACAGGCCAGTTGCCCTCCCAGGCAGGGCAGGAACAGGCTGGAAATCCCTGTGCCTGCTGCTGTCACACTGCCTTGACCACCTTGAGCCATACAGTGCCACGACAGGGTCACATCTTAGCCGTGGGGATAGAGACAGTGCTTGGACCTAGCAGCTGTAGCTATTTACTTGTCCAGAGGGCAGGGGAGCTTGTCGTGCTGGGGCTGGGGCTGTGGGTGGTGGGGGCAGATCTGTGGCCAGCTGTGTCTTTTGGGAGCTGAGTTTGCACGAGACCCTTTCCCCATTAAAAGTCTATTCCCTAATCGCCGTCCTGTCTTCACCCTGTGACTCGCAACATTTGCAGAGTTTTATGGTTACTGACAGATCTCTCTCCCAGTGCCAAACTGGACTGCACATGGCCAACAAGTGCTGACATTTTCAGGAGCCAGTATTGTACCACCCAGGGCTGGAGCAGTCGGGGCGCAGGGCCCATGGCTGGCTGGGACGGGCTGTCAGGATCCAGGTTGGAAGGGGCTGATAGACATGAGGCCACATGGAGTTAGGTAGGTGTGTGGGACCACACAGCTTGTACAGGCCTTAATAAAGTTGGGCCAGAGGTAGGGACAGGGCTAAGGACCCCAGGATGGCCACAGGCATAAACCTACCCAGGGCAGGGACTGTCCAGCTGGGCCACCATGGAGCCAGGGAGGGGACAGGTGTGTCCTAGTGCCCTCAATCCCTGGTGCTGCACTTACCCACCCCAGAGCCCTGGCAGTGCAAAGGGACCCCAGCATGCAGGGTGCAGAGCTGGAGGGACATGGTGGGGACCCAACTTACCCAACCCAGGGCCCTGGGCCTTGCAAAGGGGCCCTAGGACTGAGGTGAGGGAGAGGGCAGGCAGAGATCCTCATGGCCAGCAAGCTAAGTGGGTCGGGGGGACGGAGGCAGGGGGGCAAGGCCGTGTGGTGAGATGCAGAGGGCCCAGGGGACGCTGGCAGTGCGGGGGCTGCCGTGCCCACTGGCCAGCCATGCGAGTCTGGGAGCGGGGAGGTGGTGGCCGGGGGGGGGGGGCAG